TACCAATTAAACAATTATCAAGAAAAAGATCAAGAATGGATTTACAGATCGAAGAACTCGAGCTGGAAATACTTCAGAAACAGCATGAACTTGAGATCCTTCAGAAAAAGCTCAAGATCGTAAAACTAAAGGCAGAATCTGAGAAATCAATTCAGAAGCCCCAACAAACAGAGGCCAATACACAGTATAAAGACGCCTTGATCAAACCCGAATTTCCGGGTAAAATAGAAACAGAAACTGAAAGGTTTTCTGAAGATGAAAGAACCAAGAATTGGTTTGTAGTTCATACAGGACCTAAAATTGGTGTCTATCAAGACTACCAAAAAGTAAAAGAATTGCCAGATTCCTACTATCATGTAGCGAAATCTGAATTCGAAGCTAAAAATATCCTTGAAAAAATTAAGGGTAAATTTAAAGAAAGAACAACTGTTTTCTATAAAATGGGAGTTTTCAACGGAAACAAAATATTGAACCAAATTTCTGGGGAGTTCAATAAATTTGAAATAAACAGTTCTTTATTAAAACTAACTGTTACAAAAGAAGAATGGTATACTCTATTTGAGGAATCAAACGCTAGTACATTAGAACAGGGTTTAGTCCCAATTTCTAAAAACCAGCAATTAAAAGCCATTCTGTATCCTGGATTGGGATCAGAAAAAGTTAGAGACATGTTATTAGGAGGATTTGTGGATTTGCTATATCCTGATAACAAATTGTTGGAATTACAATACTTTCCCAAGCTTAAACAGGCCACAGGTTTGTATATGGAAAAATGCAAGATATTGCAAAACCAAAAAGGTATTTACTTCAAGGTTTGCAGTACAATTCCTGACTGGGAAAACGAAAAACAATTCCCCGGGTATCATTTTATCCAAATGGGAATTTGTGGAGAGGTTCGACCTCCAAATGTTCTAATCCAAGAACTGAAAAGTCCGTCTGAAGATGAATTAAAACTGGAAAGGAGTGATTCTTATTACTCCTTAATAAAGACTTTGGACAAGTTCACGGCAGCCAGTAAAATCAAGGTGAATTTCTGCAGCGAAGAATTTATGCTAATCAGTAATTTCACAAAGAAGGTTGATCGTCGAGACTGGGCGATTATCGAAAACTGGAAGAACTCTCTTATCAATAAAACCAGATGCAGTGAAGAAACACATTCCCTATTGAATGCAGTACAAGCAACGATTGATGAAGAAAAAGAGAAAAGTCAAAAGAAGAAGCTAGAAGACAATAATGCTCGACAGCATGAACCCAGCACTAAGAAAGGAGAGTCGCCACAAGAGGAAGACATCAAAGCTGACCCCAGCATGATCTGACAGGCTGAGTCAGGGCCAGGTTGGAGCCTTATCCACTCACCACAATGTAATGCCGCGTGCCTTACATTATTAAGCCGTATTATGAAAGGCACTAATAAGTGAGAGCTGACTCATCAACAGCTATGTATTACTTTTTATGGGCCATGTGCCATTATTGTGGTGAAGATCTTTTCGTCTCTTAGTTGTTAAGTTATGAAGTCCATATAAAAGTGACCTCCGATATGTGGTAAGGCATTCTTATTTTCGGAATATGAACAATCTTATGTTCTCCTCTCCCTTGTAATCCTTTCTCAAGAAATAAGATAAAACTTTTTATAAAATTGTCTTTACACTAAGAAAAGAAAAAGAGAACCTTTAAGGTTCCAAAACTTAGAACATTAAGATCTAAACCCAGGTCCAGTAAGGGTCAGAAAGAAACCAAAGGCAACAGCCTGCATAATCTCTGGAGTTCCTGGAGGCTAAAGCTCGACGGAATAAGTCCCGGTGGTGGCAGTAAAGCGTCTTGAAGCATAGCTTGGAATTGAGATAAAAATGCAGTGGCGAAAGTTAGCCGTGGTGGACCCATCAACAGAACAAACTGGAAGGAAAGGGTATTGATGCCCAGGAACAGATAAACTTCAGAAGAAGTCAGGTATGACAATTCTAAAACCTTTAGAATAAATGGAAGAAATTTTTGAAATTTCAAAAAATATATGTAAAAAACCAGTTCAACTAGATATTTATTCAAATATAAAATATTTGGAACATAAGCTTTTGGAGAAAATGAAAAAAGAAGCTATTGAAAAATTAGAAGAACTTCTTACAGGAAATTCCTGTATTGAAGAAGACATTAGGATGTATAAAAACTGTGATTGTCATTATGGTGATATATATCCCGGAATTAAAAAACAAAATGAAAAGCTCAAAGCTACAATACAGTTTCTGAAAGAAACAAAGTTTGGACGCTAACCGAAGCGAGAATCGGACAAATATTAGGAGCACTTTCCTTATATTTCCGCAGAAAAGAAACTAAGGTCTCAGAAAATGAGTTTGAAAAACTCTAAAAGGAAGGTACCCCTATAAACTGGTATCAGAGCCTGGTAGCAGGCAAAAATACTAAACTAAAATGCCAGGAATAGGCTGGTTAAATGCCTTCTTAGCCAGAAGAAAAACTATAGAAAAAATAATTGACGAAATGGAAAATAGGATAACTCTTTCTGGAAGAGAAAATATTGAATTACAGTGGTATAAAGAAAAAATTAAAAATTTAAATATAGGAATACAAATCCTAGAAAATAATGCTAGAACTAACTCTAGAGTAGAAGAAGAATTCTTTACACAATGTTTAGATCCTTGGAGGTACAGAGAATAATTAAATGGAAAATAATCAATTAGATTATTTCTCAAAACAAGAAACGTCAGGATATTTCGTAGAAGCCCTGATAGATGCTAAAAAACTTGGAAAAGTTGAACACGATTTAAATAAAGAACACAATTTCTCAAAAGAAAAAGTGTTTAAAAGGATTAATAACTTAATCCTAAGAAAAAATGAAATATTCTTTGGTATTATTGCTGGAGAAGAAGCAATTGATACAGACCAAACACAAGGAAATGTAATCATACCTGTAATTTGTAAAAAACAAATTTATAAAAATTTAAAACAGATAAAATCTGAAGTTAGAAATAAAATAGCATATATACATGTATCAACAATACAAATGATATTAAAAAGCACGTTTAGCTTAGGGATAGATACACCTATGCTAATCAGACTAGAAGATAATAGGATGATAAACAAGTCTGATGCACTTGTTGCAGAAGGACAAGGAAACTTGAAATATGGAAAAATCAAGTTTAATCTTAATTATCAAGTAGGAATGTCATTATTAGACAATAATCTTGATGAATCCATCACTCTGTGTTGGAAAATGTTGAGAAATAAGTTAATGAAAAAGGGAAACCACCCTTTCTCAGTAACCTGGAGAATAAATTATGCATTAACCAATAGTCATCATAGTTTGTCATTCAAACCTCATGATAAAATTGAAATTGACGAGTTATTCTCACCCATATTACATTTGGAAGTTCCTAAAAGAAATTTTCAAATACAAAGAATTGAGTCTATGACTAGACCCAGTATAGACTACATTACTCCCAAAAAGAATAATGAAGAAGAAGAAACTAGTTCTTCAAGAAATAATACTGCTGAAGTAATCATAAAACCCAACAACAAAATATATAAAATTGAACAAAAAGTTCAAGAAATAAGTAAAGAATTAGGACTTAATAATGAGTTCTAAATAATATACTAATTAATGTTTAAAAGTTTTTACCCAAAGTCTGAAAAAAGTTAGAACAACAAAAATAAAAAATGAGCACAAGAAAAATCTATTTTGACATAGAATGGGAAATTCAAAATATTAAAATGGAAATAACAAGGTATATTTATTTACATGAAATTACAAATTTAGAATTTTATTATGACATGATGAAGATATGCGAAAAACAATTAAACAGATTAATAATTTTACAAAAACAAGTAACAGTTGCATAAGAAATAAAAAGGAGTAAAGGGTATTATGGGAATAATTGAAGTCTTACAAGTGGGAGGGAGTAAAGTGGAAGAAAATTAGACATAGGGACTGAAATGGAAGTTAAAAAAGGGTCTAGGGATTTTTAAAGAAGTGTCCCACCTAAATTAGATGCATTTTATTTTAAATATCCAATTAGGCCCAAAATCATCAACTCAATTAACTTTTATTAAGAATAACTCACTTTAACCACCCAAATTCGATCATAAACAGTTGCCAATAATACTAGTAATTTGATTAATGGAAGTTAAGATAAGAAGGAATATACCAAAAAAAAAATATTTATGTGATTCTTTTAATCTAAATGTTTGGTTTATTTTTTTTTTTTCCAAAATTTTTTAAAACACATTCGGCAGGATGTTCCAAAATTTTTCAAAAAAATTACTTATTTTAGTACTTTTAAAATTTTAGGCAGAAATCTAAATGATTTTTAGATACTATTTTACATAAATATTTTTTCTTATTATATATTAACGGATCTATCTAGATTTGAACCTGTATCCATATCTAGTAAGGTTTATAAAATTATAACTTGTCAACATAAAATTATAAATATATTTAAAATTTAATAATTTTTTTATTTGTTATTAGCTTTTCATATATAATATATAAAATTAACATTGATCTTATAATATGTATGTCTAGGGAAATGCTCACATGCCCACGGTGGGCACATGTTAATATGCCCACCGACTTATGTGGCATGCATACATTGGTGATATATTTTTTTTAACATATTAACATCACCAATGTGTGCATACCACATCAGCAGTGGACATATTAACATGTGCCCACCGTGGTCACGTGAGTATTTCCCTGTATGTCTATAACTGTATTTATAGTACAAATGTAATAAAATTAATAAATAAACTTCTTAAGAAGTATTTAAAAATTTAAAATGAAAACTTAAAAATTTTATTTTTTAAATAAAAAAGTACAATATTTTTTAATTAACACCCTTATTATATTTAACATGCTTTTACATAGAGGCCAAGTGCCAATTAAGGGTTAAAGATGTCAATTACCCTTGCTTCCACGGCACACCTCACATTCCCAAAAATTGGCGCCCCTTTTCCCCTCTTCGCAATTCAAGTATGTATCCTCCTGCTGCTGCTTCTCCCCCTCCGCCAAACAATTTTCACACAGTACACACACACGCACAGTATGCTTCCACGCAAACGACCGTCCAAGCCCAAGCTCAACAGTCCCTTCGTTCCCCCTTTCGCCAAGCCCCTACCCGCCAAGCGCCTTAAACCAACAGCCTCCACCGCAAATGTACCCGCTCCAGCCGAGCGCAGAACGACGCCGTCTCCTCAGAGCCAAGGCCCAATTGACAAAATGGTGGTCGTGTTGGCGGAAGCCGGCTGCACGCTGCTAAACCCAGCCGGACCTCCGTGCCTCCCCTCCGATCTCTACGGCTTCCGCCAGCGTCTCGATTCACTGTTCTCCGATGATACCTCGCTGCGGTCTCAGTTCCTCAAGGGCTTCTCCGAGCATATTTCGTCCGTCGCCAATTTGCGCCGGTTAGTTACTGCTACCCCAGATTTTTTTTTTCGATTTTGATTTTTGTGTAAATGAAACTAGCAGTCTGCGCCAAAATTTCAGTACGGAATTTCTAAAAATGACCGTCTGAGATCATGTTTGTATGGTCTGCTGTTCAAATTAGTGTTTCGGTATGTGTAGGGTCTTGTTGCCTACTCAACAGGATGGATTTGGATCGGTAACAAGTGAAAGCCTAATCAGAGTATTGTTACTGGTTAAGTGCATCCAGCAAGACCTTTTGGACATGTTGCTCGAGAAACTTCCCGAGTATTTTGATGGGGACTCTAATGCGAATGGTTCTGGACTCACACACTCCTCGTGTCTCTATGATGATGTAGCAAGGCTTATACTGAACCAGTTCCGGTGGCTTGACTTTCTCGTATGTTCCGAGGGATTTGTCGAGAAACTTCTACAGGTCTTATCAATTTGCCCCCATCATCTGAAGAAAGAGATAATAGAGGCGCTACCTGAGATCATAGGTGACCAGAATAATGAGACTGTTGTTAGTTCACTTCAGCAGATGCTCCAGGAGGACTCATCTATTATTGTTCCGGTGCTCGACTCGTTTTCCAATCTCAAGTTGGACGATTTGTTGCAAGACCAGGTCTTAATGATTGATACTTACCCTGTAGTTGTGGTTACGATTGTTTTCCATTAACATCCTTGCTCTCTTGGTTTCTGACTAGTTACATATTGTGTTCAAACCCGTGAAGGTGATTACGATAGCTCTATCCTGCATACGGACCATTGATATCGAGCACATGCCCTATCTTCTTAGATATTTGCTTCTTTCCGCGAAGGCGTTAAATGCTAGGCGAATATTCTCGCATATACGTGAACAGCTGAAGTTTTTGGGAGCTTCTCACGCACGAACCTCGCAGCGTAGCAAACTTAAAGGAAAAGCAGTTGTGGACAATACAGAAGCTTCAATTCTTGATTCTCTTAGATCTAGCTTGCGCTTCAAAAATGTTGGTTTTTATTACACTTGTGGAGTTGTTAGTGTTTTTTTACATGCACTTCGACACCACACATTTAAATGTGTAAATATGTATATACTCACATGCACGCATTCAACTATTTATACACATATATATCACTGACATATAATATATATAAATGTATTTAACTGCTTCTTTCATCTCACGCTTACCTCTATTTGTAGATTCTTTGTATGGAGTTGCTTAAAGAACTGAAAAGCTTGGAGGAAGCTTGTGATCATAAAGTGATAGACATATGGTTACTTACACTCATATTCATGAACAGTGAATCTTTGCATAGGAGTGTTGAAAAGTTGTTCAAGAAGAAAATTGTTGAAGGTTGTTTTGACGATCATATGTTTGATCAGTGCATTCATGGTATCAAAGATTTGCCGAAGGTATTAAAGCATGTCAAACTCAGTATATATTGAAGATTTGTTACTCTTCAAATGCTCATCTCACATTTTTCTCTATGTTTGCTGTTTTAAACTAGGATTTTCTACGCACGTTTCTATCACTATCTGCGTACTTGTTGGGTTGCAAAGAACAAAGGGCTCAGGAATTTGGTATCCACATTTATATATGTCTATTTGAAGAATTTGATGATGCTTACACAAGACAAGAAGTAAGCTGTTTTCTTGATAGCATCAATAGCTATGCAAAGATCCTCCAGAAACCATTAGTTGAGATTTCCTTCATGGTGAGAGACCTAATCAGTTGTAGTTTTCTGAAGGTTCTAGGGGCATTACTTACTCATGTGGGCTCTGGTATATGCTATGAAGTAAGTGCTGCTTTAGACGCTATGGTTAAGCTGGCCTCTAAGAAGTCCCAGGAGTTGATTTCACTTTCATCATATATAACAGGTAGTCATACCCATAGATCACCCTTCGCACTCTGTTTTTCTCGAGCTATTGTATATTGATTTTGTAAACTGCTTTTGTAATTTCTTGTTCTGTTTTCCTCCACTGTACAGGTATCTTGGATTACTTGGAGGGCTTTAGTGTTGCGAGTCTCCACAAGGTCTTTGTCATCATTATATTATTATTTTGCTGACAATTGGCTTGAACGTTTATCGATCAATCATTAAAAGGTACTTTTCTTGTTGCAGGTGTATGAACTTTTCATATGCCTTGCAGTATCTGCTCAATCTTGCACACAACCTTATGGATGTTCTATCGCGAATGAGCTTCTAATGATATTGAGAAAACAGGCAACTCTTGGTTCCTCCTCTATCCTTCCTATTGGTTCTACTATTTATAGTTATGAATGTTTTTTTTTCTTCATATATATTTTTAGCACTCTTTCATTTGTTATGAGTTTGTTATTTTAAATGATTTAACTTTGCAGATAAATAACTCTGATCTGATATATAAGAAGATGGGCCTCATTGGAACAGTGAAGCTAGTTGCCTCCATTGGAGATATAAATAACACCTCCCTCCCACATCTATCACTAGTAATGTGCTGAGCCTCACTTGTAAATCTTTCTTACAAAGCATTTGATGGAATTGAGTGGTTTCAGTAAGTTTTTGTCCTCATTGTTGTTTGGATGTGTTGGAGAGTTAACAAGAATGAAAGAAAAATATCTCCTTATTATTTAGATATCCTTCATCTTTTGTTCTTAGTAGATAAATCCCTCCTGTGTATACCAGATTAATCGATTAATATCCCTTCACTTGTACTTTATGTTGTCTTGGTACTTTTTGGTTGATGAAATATCACTGTGCGTAAACTGCTGAAAGATTTTGAAGTATGGTGTACTCATTCTATTTCTTTATTTATTTTTTATAGAGGTCAAACCACGAGGAAGCTGTGGAACTCTTGAAGTTATCTTTGGATTCTTGCAAACAGCTGCCGTTACCATCGGCTTTCTTTTATGAAGAACTGATTTTAACTTTGCAAAGCAAAACACTTCATCCAACTATTATGGAATGGTGCGTGGTATACAGAGAATGTGTTTCTTTCAACTTTTTTACCATAATAATATATAGAGACTGTCTGTGTATTTCAATTTTTTATTATCAGAATATAAGGTACTTCCTTCCTCCACTCAGTGCTGGTAAATTTTGTCATGCTTTCTTTTTGTTTGTTGACTGCCATATACAATTGTGGGATTCAACATTTTGCCTTTATTTTTGAAAAAAAATAAGACAAGATGATTAGGGGAACTTCTGAGTTGTCTTAGAACGCTTGGAGCGCTTATGATTATAAATATAACATTATTCTGCCATTTGAAGACCATATTTGTGTGTTTCTGAAGTAAAAGTGAAGATGCTTGGGAACGAATGAACACTAAGGTTGATTTGTCGCTCTATTGATTATTTATTATGTTCCTTAGCAAATAGCGACATAATCCATTCTCAGTATTCTGAAAATGTTGCCTAGACCCTCGTACTTGTTAACTTATGATTTATGAATATTAAGAACATCATATTCAGAATAGACACTGCATACATATTATCACATGTTGTGGATTTTTGCATTGGCTTCTGTTGATTCATGCCAGAATCTATCTCGAGGCACCCTTTGAAGGGTTCATTGATGTAGTTTAAATTGGTTTATAACTACTTCTTGAATTTTATATTCCAGCGAATTTCATTCAATAGTGAAAGCGGAGACTTATTATGTGATAACTGGTAAGAATAATCTTTAGACAAACAACCTATCTAACCCTGTCTGTAGCTTGAACCTGAATTGACCTGCCTCTGTCGGTAAGTGGCAGCGGATGTTGCATAGGAGGTTTATATAGTTAATTTGAAGATGCTGACGCATAATATTTCCAAATGACGTGGAACACAGATTTGGTGCTGCACCTTTCACCATGTATTAAGCAAAGGACAACATCATAGCACCTATCTAAGCACATTTATATCATGCGGGTTAGAATAATTATGGAAAACTGACTTGAGGCTTTTAACAGATTGATATCATTCTTCACATCAATCTATATGGACACCTTAACATAAAACATGAAGCTATTAAGAATTTAAGAGTAATTTTTCCTGATTAATTACCCAACGCTTTTGATTTCATTAAGTGCTACTAATGTTCTGTACCGATATGTATCAAATTGTTCGTTTGACTTCCCATTAATTGAATCATTATTCTTGATAGCAATCCAGATTATCTGTAAGTTTACTAGAATGCAGGAAGCAGCAAATTTAAACCAGATGAGATAAACATAAAAGTTAGCTTCACTTCACCTGTTTATAGATAGTGCACTAGGTAAAATGTTAATTTGAACAATTTATAGCAATTGAAATTTTGGTGAAGAATTTCCTTTAGTTTCTCGTATGATAAAATGCTGATATTACTAGCTTTACCAATATTATCAATGTTGCGTTGTTTCTGATCTTGTCGTCTGCATTGACGGTTATTGTTTCTTTTGTAGGTTTGGCAAACAAGTTATAGAGAATGCTGACATCAGTAGCTTTACCAACATTATCAATGTGGCGTTGTTTCTGATCTTGTCGTCTGCACTGACTATTTGACTGTTATTGTTTCTTTTGTAGGGTTGGCAAACAAGTTATAGAGTTTGAGTCAACATATTTATCAGATCTGGATAGAGGAAATTTGGCTGTTTCAGACTTGTCTTATAGTTTGGAAGGTCATAGCAATCAATTTGATACTTCTATAATATAAGTAGGACATGCTAATAGCTTGGTTTTTTCTATTGGTGCAGGTGAAGTGTGGATGAACCTTGATGGTGATATATCTCCTATATGCTTAAACATTTTACCACTTGTTTTCCCATTGTGTAGGTAAGTTTTGCTATCTATTCAAGGTCTTAAAAAGTTAAAGTTTAAAAATATCTCATCTTTAAGAACTTAGTTCTAGATATGCCAACTAAGTGAAGTACCAAGGTCATACGATTGAGCAGTTCTTTTGTTCAAGTTCTTCTGACATTCATTTACGAAATAGTTCCAGTTGCTGGGCTTTGAAAAAGAGATGGCTACTTCTGTAAAAGGGTTTATGCCTTTCTGGAGAACATTACATGTAAAACTCCTCTCTAGTCCATTAACAATTTAGTGGTTCCATATACACATCAATTCAAATTGTTATCCTAAAGTTGCTTGGAATGTTGTGGAACACTTATGTTGTCATCCTACAAATAAATTTAAGCTATGGAGAACATTTCAGTTGTCAATTTAAGTGCAAAGAATATTGTTTCGTCTCTTAGAACTGAAGGAAACCTCAAGTCACTTCCCTTTGCCTGACATCCTATTCTGTTTCGTCATTTAGTGGAAAAGATATTACATGACCTATTTTCTTTCCATTTCATCTTTGGACAGACGACTACTTTGAATCAGAAAGAACATGTTCTTACCATCATGATAAGCATTTGAAAATCAAGTATTGAGTCATCTAGAAATTTTCCACTTCACACCCAGAATACATCATATATTTGAAGTTCGATTCTAGGTCTTCATCATCACATAAACCTAGTGGATAGTGTATTTCTTGCTTTATTTCTCGTCTATCTTGTATAGATGGGCTATTGAGCTTTGTAATCTTCTTTCGCAGACCCACTTCGCCATTGCAAGTTCTTCCTACAAAATTTGTGTTACTTTCTGTGGTGAGTCCCTGTTCAGTGTACATTGATTTTAAACTCAAGGGTGAAATTATAACAAGATCTTTCCAATTTTTTTTCAGGTTGAGAGATTGGCGAACCAAGGATCACTTGGAGGCATTGATGCTCTTCTTGGTTGTCCATTTCACCTTCCTTCCTCCAAGGTTGGGCATATGATGCTAAAAGACTCTTTTGATGGAAAGTAGCTGATTATTTATTGTTAATGTGTGGAGTGCATCTAATAGTTTCTTTTCTTTTTTCCCTTTTCTCTTCTATTATTTTTCTTTGTTTACTTTATTTATTTGTTTATGTTGTTTTCTGCATGATGTGTTCCAAATGCATGCACCATGTTGCTTCCAGTAAAGACTCTTTGAAAACCTGTTCTCAGTTTTTAACCTGGAGTTCAGACTCCCTTTTAACCTGGAACTGAGAATTAGTCTGCAAAACATGTTCTCCGAAGTGGCCCACAACTTATATGCTGAACTTTTATGGGCTTGTTGTGGCAGCTGTTCTCTGAACTCTCTTGGTTGTCTTTAACTGCAAAGCAAAAGCAGATTGCTATACTCTCGCTATATTATGCGGATAACTGGATGAGAGAACTGGTAAACCACTGACGACCACCTATATTAGGTATATGAAATTCTTCTCGCATTTGAATGAATTATCTTACTAATTGTTTGTTTTGCAGCTAAATGTCTTTTCAAGGCAAGTTGTTGAGGAGTGCAACTCCATAAGCCAAGCAACGAAGGAAGACATAATTATTAAACTATTGAAACGCTTGAGAAACCTTGTGTATGTCTCATATCCTCTTTACGAAAATTTTTAGGCAGGATTTAAAATTCTCATTTCATTTTGTAAATATTATTATCTGTCAACAAATGTCATTGGTGAAATTCAATCTCATAGGAATGTAATCTCTAACTTTAGTTTGATGATGCAGGTATGTTGAGTGCATATTGGACAATTTTCTCAAAAAACACCCAATTCTTCTGCCCGAGCTCTATCCACATTTTGAGTTGTCACCAACCATTGAGTTTGACAATGCGAAGGAACCAGAAAGCATGAGTGAGACTCTTAAAGAGAGTAAAAGCAGCTCGCAAAGTAAAAGAAGAAGCAAAGGGAAGTCGTCATTGCCGTCATCCAACTCAAATGATGAGGATAAGTCCAGGCAGCCAACAATAGTTGACTTGTGGAAGAAAGCTGGTGCTACACCAAGCCAAGAAGCTACCAAAGAAGATGTATCTATAACGTCCTCAAAGGCCACACAATCTGAATCTGAAGGAAATCAGGCTGACAAATATAGTACATCAGAAGATATTGAAATTTCTGCATATTTAAAGTGTTTAGAAGTACAAAAATACAAATTCAGGCCCCTTTCATTTGATTGTCTTTCCCTACTTGCGCACCTAGAGGTATGTCTATGTGTTACTCGACTGTTTGTTTTACTTTATTTTCCTAGAACAGTTGTTCTTCCTTGGATCAGAGGCATGTGATAATTGGCATGAAAAGATTTCTGGTGCATGTTTAATAATAATGTTCCATGAAATAAGAAGATATATTTCTGTTTACTTCTAAGTTTCTTAAGTCATTGTTGTGCCACTTGTGCATAATCAGCCCTCAAGGTTATCTCTATTTATTCTAACACGTCCT